GACATGAAGTCCAATATCTTTCACTTTTAGGTTAAATTAATGTATATCAATTAAAAAGAAACAATAAAAATATTCACTTAAAAAAAGTCAGTTATTTTAGATTGTAGGCATTTTTCACCTAAAAATTGTTTATCAATGTCATTTTCTAAGTCGTAGATTTTGTTCATTATTTCCGATGAAGTTTTACGAGACCTGTAGAATTTGCTAAACCAAAGTCTCTGCATACATCTGCCTTTTTTCTTCCACTTTCAACTGCTTTAATTATTTCTACTTTGCAGTCTAACGTTAATGCTTTCCTTTTTAAGCTAGCCATTTTACCTGATTTGATGCTAAACTACAACACGAGTATGAGAGCTATGCAGACTAACCCACTGTCACGTTGTTTAAAGAGGTGGCACATCTCACCCCACCAAATCAGGTGGTGACAGTACCACCCACAATCGTTCTAGGAAGTGGACTCTGACCCTAGGACTGAACACATAGTATTTTCTTTGATAAATAAAATTTATAATTTAATTTTGTAAATTTAAGAGTGCTTCAAATATGACGTTAAAACAGGGTTTTATGTCATAGCAAGTGGGTTTTTTAACATTATCTAGTGTAGTAAAATCATGGGACCGATAAAAATATGATGTTATATTAGGGTTGTCGTTACATCCGATGTCATTATAATTGGGTTAAACTGTACTTAGATTATCTCATTTTAATAAATTAAGATGCTTTTATAGCAAAATAAGGACAATATAATGTTCTCCTATAAAATATTAGGAATACAACTTATAGGAATGAAAAATAAACTGATATAAATGATAAATTAACAAATTAAAATTCTCATACATCAAAAGTCATAATTCTTTTATAAATCAGAGAACTCTGAAAAAGAACAAATAATGTGAAAATGGATTATCTATTGAAAATTCTTAAAAAACTGATTTATATAAAATTTTTTAAGATATAGAAAATAAATTGAAATTATCTAACAAAAAAAATTTTTAATAAAATCAAGATTAAAAACTTACACTTATTCAAAACATTCTCGATACTTATTCAAAACATTGTAAATATTGTTGATTCGGAAGGATATTCAATCGATTTTTATCTTTTCATTCAGCAAGTGGCCAGGAAGTATCAGGTGGATATCTGGGGTTTATTATGTGTTTAATTAAGTTAACAGGCTAATTAGCCCTCCAGATCTTTACATATATATAAAATAATAAATGAATATTATCAAATTTATTTTAAACATAAACTTTAAACTTTTTTTTGTTAGTTTTAAGTTTTAATTCTTTTGTTTCACTGTTTTTTGTTCTAAAATTGTGATAGATAAGAAACAGTTAACATCTATTATGGTTATATTTTTCTGAATTAAATTTCATTGGTATAATTAATTTTTAATATTTAAAATTATTCATAATTTTACTTTATAAAGTTGCTTAGTGGATCACCTTCTCGAGATAGAAGATCACCTTCTGTCAACATGGGTCGTCCTGCATGGGTTGAACGTGAATTAGCAGGAAGAATTAGAGTACCTCATACTTTTGTTGTTCACTCTTACACTCGACCAACAGTATGTCAACATTGCAAGAAATTATTAAAAGGTTTACTTCGTCAAGGAATGCAATGCAAAGGTAATTTAGTAAATAAATATTAAAATCTATTTTATAAAAACTTTGTTTAGTATTTATTAAAATATATTTTATATATACACATGTACAAACACACAATGTGTATATAAAACTATTAATATAATGCATCTGCAAATAATTTAAATAGAATACAATATTATAAATGCAAAAAACTGCATATTCTCATTTAGCAAGAATAACTCTTTAACCTATACCATGTTAAAATTTTTTTCCATTGCGTGTCACCCCACGCTGAATTTTTGTTGATGTTAAGCCTAACGAAAATTCCACATTTTAGAAAAAGTAATCGTGGCTATTGTATCATTCAAAACTTTTTTTTATTTTGCACAAACAAAATAGACATTAATAAATGTAAAAACAAAAAAATTATATTTCAGAAGTTAGTTTTAATATAAAAATTATGCTGACTAGTGACATCTAGTATCAAAAATGTCTTGATGCAGAAATGAGATAGCTTGGGTCCACAGGTCAAGGTCATTATGTTTCAGCCTGAGATATTTCAGGAATACCAGGGGACGGTTAATTAATTATTCAGAATTTTGTTCCATAAAGATACATGCATGTTATCGTTGGTATGGAGATATAAAATGATATGTTTTATTTAATCTTGTTTTATAATTTACTTTATTGATTCATAATTCAAATATAAAAATTTTTAATGTAAAAAATGTAATAATAATAATTTATATTCTATAAAGAGTAATACTAAAGGAATTGCTTCACTTTATCATTTTTTATTAATGCATTGTGTAGCATACTTTAATGCAGTGTTTTAAAAAATTTATGGAAAAACATTATTATTATAACACATTAGCTCTCAGTATTTACAATTAGGTTCCTTGGAAATCTCACAAGTACCAAATTTGTGATACCAAATAGGAATGTCTATCTTCAACTTCTGCTGTTACTAACTTATATAATTTTGTTTCTAATGCTACAATACTTCATTTTGCTTTATTAATTAATTGTAAATTTTCTTATAGTTGTAAATCTTCATATTATTAAAACATGGACATTATAATGAAAATATTAATATGGTGTCTGATATCTATGGATTCGTTTTTGATCTAATATTCTTGTATCAGATAAAAGTTGTATGTACTTTGTTAAAATGATTTTAGAATAATATTAATTAAACATATGGAAAATATAATTATAGGAGCTTATTTATACAAAGATCTGTGCTTGCATAATTTAATAGAATTCATAATTTTAATCAGATGTCATATGTACAACATAAGTTTAAATTGAACCTGAGATATTTTTTCCAAAATCTCAAGTAAAACTCTGGCAACATGAAATATTTTTTGCAAAAAGTTAATTGCAAGAATGATTTATACATTTTCATTTATACTTGTTAAATGATAAAATATTCCAAATTTAATAATTTTGTGGATATAGCATATTTTGCTATCTGAAATAGCATGGCACATTGGTTCTAATATTCTTTGGCTCAAAAAGAATCCAAGAATTTTACAAATAGAAAAAAACAACTTATTGTATAGAAAGGCCAAAAATGATGTAAATAATGTTATGCTTGAATATATTTAATGCAACATCTTGAAAAGTAGTAAAGTATTTTTCTCTATCATTTAGAACACATTTGTATGAATTCTTTACAGATTTATAAAAGTCAAGTAAAAATTTAAAATTTTTATTATTGTAAAAATTTATAAATTTTAAATTCAACAAAATTATCTAAAAGATGAATTTTTTGTTCAGACAAAATAACTAATAAATTATATATTGCATTATACTATTATCATTATTATTAATGGAAAAGAAGCTGAGATTTTTGTGTGTGTATATATATATATATATATAACAAATTTGATATAGTAAATTGTTTTATAACATCATAAACTATTGTTTATAAGTTTAAAAGATTTAAATTAATTAGTCAGTTAATTATAAAAGTTTAATGATTTATAAAATTCACTGGATGTAATTTTCATATTAATTAATTAAAATTGAAGGAAAAGTCTATTGAAACAATCACCTTTTAAACATTCACTTTCTGGAATACATCCCATGCTGACCTGACCTTTCCTTTTAATATATTTGGTTGCCAAAGTTTAAAAATTTCCTTAAAGCATGAAAAGATATATTTAATGTTAAAAGTAATTGTGAAAAAGGAACATAAAAGTGAATGTATGAAAAGGTGACCTTTTTGACATGTTTTAATTATTTTAAGTTTAATTAATCTTTATTTAATTAAAATTGAAGACAATGTGTTAATGTGTTTTTTATAATGTGATTTTAGTTATTTTTATTTTAATAGTTTATGAAATCTTTAAGTTTAGTAAATCTGAAAAGTTAGAAAATTTCTTTAAGAAAATAAGAAAATCTAGAATTTTTAGAAAATTTTGTAATTATCCCAAACAAATAAAATTCCAGATTCAAATTATGAAATTTAAAATTATAAAGCAGTATGATAGTTTGACATTGTACATTCAAAATCAAATTGAAAAGTAGGTTTTGTCAAATGATTTAAAAAATAGTAATAAAACCAAGGAATGTTGTTGTAGTTAATAAGGAAGTTTTAATTAAGAGTTTAAAGTAAGTGAAATTTAATTTAACTCTTCTGCTGAAAATTTAAAAAAAATTTTTTTAATATTTACATTTAGCATTTTTTTATATTTCATTATAAATAACATTATCACAGTTATATTAAAATTATCTGTATTTGCATATTATTTTGTTTGATTAAAAATAAATTAGTATACAGAACAGTATTATTTCAATCATGTGAAACTTTGTTTATTAGCATTTAAATAAAGAAAAGAACTATTTACTGATTACAAATTATAATTTTTACTATTATTTTTATTTAGATTGTAAATTTAATGTTCATAAACGGTGTATGGAAAAAATACCTATGGATTGTGCAGGTGAAGCACCAAAGGAATGGGGTAATTATATACTTTTATTTTATTTTAATTAAAATTATTGTTTTTTTGTAAATGTAAAGTTTATTTGTTTTTACATATTAGCTAAGATACTGCTGCTGCTTTACTTAGGAAAAAGATATATTAAGTAAGAGTAATATACTCATATCAAAAAACACACACAAAAATATATATACAGAAAAAAGACTAGATACTCATAACAAACTTTTAATATAATAATAGATTCTTTCAATATAAAATTAATTTTACATTGAAAGGAAATCTAGGGACTCAAGGATAATCTGAGAAATAAAAATTGCAATAGTGATATATTCAGTACTGTATACATTTTGCTGAAACAACAGACTGACAAGTTTTCATTGATGTCCACATTTGCCCATTAATGACCACATTATCTTATTATATTTGAATTTAATGGTTCATTTCATACTCACTCGTCTCTGGTCTTCAACCTATTTGTGTGAAAGACCTGATAAGAACCAAGTACAAACTATTTACTCTTGCAAATAATATAATTCTATCAAAGCTTATAAAATCAAATTTTTGTAAATGGAAAGTAGCCTGTATCTTTCTTAGGACTATCCTGAATATATGTACAAAATTTCATATAAATTGGTTCAGCTATTCTCGTATGATATTTTTCAGATATGAATTCAATTTTGAATATATATAGGTGAGTATGGAGCAATGAAGATAGATGTTTTTTACAAGAACAAACAGTCTATTAAACTATTAGTATAATAAAAATATGTTGAAACAATTTAAAATATATAAGGAAAACACACAAATAATAGTTTCTGAATCAAAAATAACAAAACTTTTGTTTTAAGAAAAAAAGAAAAAAATGGAGAAAAGAGAGAAAACTTCTCTTCTTAAAACAAAAACAAACAAAATGCTATTCAAAATTGGTGTAGCTCAATCTGATTGTTCAAATGTGATGTGCAAACTATGTCTTAGTCACTAAGACCATGCACACAGGAAGTGTTTTGGGAGTTAACCACTCCCATTTTGGAAGAATTAAAAAATTAATTAAAATTAAATAGTATATTGTATATAACCTATTTATTTAGTACCTATTCAGTTCCTTCTTAATTGTAATAATTCTATATTGTAAAATTAATAAGCCATGTTATATGTGTTTTTAAACTCCACCCTTTTAAGAACTCTGCATTAACTTGCCAGTGCCAAATATATGAGGAGCATTTGGAAAGTAAGTTCTGATTAATCACAAGAATAAAAAATAATGTTTTAGTTATTTCTTTGTCAAAAGTTTACACAGATTTTTATCTATTTTTCAACATAACTTTCAAAATTGACAAACTTTATGAATCAGAGCACAAGCATTTTTTATCGATTGAAGAAGTCTGCTATCAAATTCTTAATGAATGTTGATGATTCTCTTTATCATTGACAAATTGTTGCTCTGCTAAAAATGCCTTTTTTAAGTGTAGAAATCAGTATCAGTACTGCCAAATATTCTTCTGCAGACCAGTGATTGCAGAAAAGCACTGCTATAGATTAACAGTCATCAACCTTTCTGATCTCATGGACCACTAAATTCACAGTTTTGAATCCTGCAGACCACTATCATAAATTTTTTTAAACTGTAAAAACATATATAGAATAATGATTATAAAAGTTCTATTTTAGTTTACTTTATTAGTATGAAATTCACTTGTTTAATTATAACAAATCAGTGTGAAGTTTGTTGCTACTTGTTTGAAATGTTTATAGATTCTTGGTTCTTTTCCAGAAAGAACAACTCCTCACTCACATTATTTATTGATTTATTGACATTATTATTTATTGATGTCATTTCATGTTTGGTTTTATATTCAAATAAATAAATAAATAAAAATCCCCAATGAGTGAGAAAAACACAACCAAGCATTTTGAATTTCTTTTGTAATACTTTGCATAACCTTGAGTTCATCAAATGTTCAAATTTCACCATGGACCATCAACATTTTCTTTCAGACCATCAGTGGTCCACAGACTTCCGGTTGGCGATCACTGCTCTAGATCACATGATAAAAGTATTTAATGGTTATTTTTAAAAATGATCTATAATTAAATGTTTCGAAAAAATTAATAATAAACTATAACACTGCATCAACTGCTACAATTTTTGACTAGAACAGAAGGAGAGCAATCTTTACAAAGCCGTCCCCATTCCAACAGTGTGCACAAATCAGATTATTACTCTTTCCACATGGCTCTTTCAATCTAATGACAAGCCCTCAAAAATGCATTCTTACCAGATTTTACTGTTTTATCTTTCCAACATCTTGACACTGGCCAACATTTATCCCAGTTTCACCAAGTGAAGACAACTTTCTTCCTTCTGAATGATACTGTTGAATTTGTCTAAGATGTTTATGCCTCCAAATTATAATTTCATGTTTATTAGTTTCTATAGAATTGTAAACAATGCTGATTTCTTTCAAAACTTTTTGTAATGTTTCAGAAATGATTGGCAAATCAGGGTCATCATTTACATTGTTAGTAAATTTAAAAAAATACTTATGTAAAAATACTTGTATTAGGAAATTATCACACTTGGCATTCCAGATTTTCAAGGCCTTTTCTTACTGGTTCCAAAACTTTTCATTACTGCACACTCTTGCTTCTTTGCTACTAACATTGCAAAAGACAATATATCAGTCAATATTATGGTTTCTTCAACAGCTTCTTTTATGCTTAGGGTCACATTAACTTCCTGATGCATGAATACATTCAGTCAACTTGCTTCATTTGACTTCTAATAGTCTGCCCTTTATGATTAGTTTTAAAATAATAAGGAGAAATACCTATCAAAGGAAGTAGCATGTTCACTCTGTCAATTATCATTTTTCCAAATACATGCCTCATTTTTGCACTATGTAAAATGTTGAGGATCATATCTTCAATATTTTGGTCAGTTCAATAAATGCATATTTTTCTTGAAGCATAAACAAACTTTTAATTAAATTAAATATATAATAATTTTACAACACTAAACAAAAAGGAAACATATTAACTTAATATCAAACATTTGAACAGAATTCTCAAAATCAAATACATCTATTTAAATATGCAATGTCCTTTGACTAATTAAAACAATAAGAATATTATAATTATTCTATATGTATAAAATACTAGCTTAAAATCATTGTAACACTTTTTCCATCATGAAAAAAGAAACAAAATAGAAATGGCAGAAAATGAACAAAATATTGTTTATGACTACATGAAAAATGTAATGATAATTTTCATCATTGTTATATAGTTTACTGACGACACATATCCTTTCTCAATAGCTACACACTTGGCTTTGTTCTTTATCCTATAGAGAGTATAGATGATCTTTGAAAATTACCAAGAAATATTTTTTTATGCAGCAGTATGTAAATACCAAAACTATCTAGCAGCCTTTATAATGTATGTAGTATTGTAATTTCTGTTAATATAATAATGAAATAAATGAATTTTTTTTTATATAGCTTTAGAAGCCTCTAAAAGCTCAGAAACAGAAAATGGTAGTGAAAAAGATAATTGTGATGATGATTCTGATAATGATAATGAATTACTAAGTGCAAAAGGAAGTCATTCAAACTGTAGTCCAGATGATGAATCAAAACTTCCTGCAAAGTAAGATTTTTTTCAGATAAATTTTAAATGACAATAAATTATAGGCTTTTGTATTTTATAAGATAGATAAAAAAATATATATTATATAAAAATCTAAAATAATATACAAATAAATACTTGGATAGTTAAAGAAACAAAAATTTTTAATGAAACAAGGTAATATGAAGAAATGATATTTCATTTCTTCATATTACCTTAGTGAAAATAAAGATATTTTGTTTTGACTTTTGACTAAGATCGTCTTGCTTTGCTAATCAGAAACTACACTAGTATGATAAGTCATATTAATAAACAAGGCCCAAGTAGACAATATATACACAGAAATAAAATATCATTTTGCAGTCAAATGAAACTCTATAAATTCATCAAGTTGTATCAGAGTATTCATCTACTTTCTTAGATTTTCATGTAGTCTCTACCTAATTGTGAATGATGTCAATGGAAATGTAAAGATCTCCTCGTTTCATCATTTTCCCATCTCTTAAGGAAAATTATAAAATATTAACAGTTGTCTATTCTTACCTATCTCACAGTTTGCCAATTATTGTTATGATTTATTAGGCTTGAGTCATCTGAATTAAATAATATATGTAATTGAATTTTTATTCAGTTGTTGTATTTGAATGATCAAATCAGTCTTACATGTTTGATATAATTTAATCAATTATAGCAGAGTACTCCTGCACAATTTGAGTTTTAATTTTGATAAAAGCTCAGATTTATTCTACTTATGAATTACGATTTCACAATGATCAGAAGAATTTAAATTGTAGCAATGGTCTGTAATCGTACTAATTATCAAATGGTTATTATTTCATAGTAAAGCAAATTTTTCTATCTATGCATCATTACTATTATTATTATAAGGATCTAGCTATATTGTTGATGAATTTTTTTTTTATTTTGATTCAGGTAAGTGTTGTTTGAAGTTCAGGAATCCAATAGGACCCTCAGAATCAAAGAAGTAAATTAAATATCATTTTAATGTTTTTTTAATTATAAAGATAATTTTTAAAAATTCGTGTGTTGTCTGAACAAGTATTTTTTATCTGTATGAAACTATTTCAATTAATAATTCACAAGCATTTATTGAAATTGAAAGTATATTTAACTCCAATAACGTTTTCAATAAATATTAAATACATTATTGTCACTAATTCTTATATATTGTAAGTACTGCTAAATTAGTTTTAACATTAATAAAAACTTTAAGTCAGATTTTCTTGGAAAGAATAGGGTAAATAACTGAAGAAGAGAATAATTTATTCTCTGTTTAATTTTTAAATGAATTGTTTTATCTGCATGAAAATAATAATTCAAAAGATAAAATTATGCAATCAATATCCAATGATGATAAATGTTTAACTATAGTAGTATGTCTATGATGATCAGTTTTTTTAAAATTAAGATGGATTTAGATCTATAAATTCTGTTGATCAGTTTTGTCATTATGGTATTTAAGAAGCATTTATCAGGTTGAAAGAAAAAATTATAAAATTAATTTTTGTGTGTTGTAATAAATATCTGAAATAATGTAATTAGAAATACAAACTCTAAGATTACTTATATCTTAAGAAAATAAGTAATCAAATTTGATCACTTACTTTTTCAGAGTCCTATTTGAGTTCATTTATTGAAGCATAGCATTAGTGAAGCTTCTATGAGGCTTACAGAATTGTGTTCGTTCTCAATATCTCTTTGATAGATTTTGATTAAACTTTGCCATTTTTCATTAATTGCAGCACAGAATCCAAAAATACAATAAAAAAAGAAAATGGGGGTCCGTGATTTTGTTTCCAAGATATAAGGTTGTTTCAAGAGTATGTGCAACAAAGCGATATTGAACAAATTGAGCGACTTTGTCATGAGATGTTTCACAGTTGCTAGAATGTCTTTATGGGCTTGTAGAATCAAGTTCATCTTAAAATTTAATGGATCGATTTTGAAAAACTTTGCCATTTTCCATTAATTGAGACAAGGAATCCATAAATGTGATGTGGGTCCATTTAAATGTAAAATGTCTAGAAACAAATTGCTTAACTTTCCTGGCAACATTTAAAATTCTGGTGGTGCTGTCTGCTACAATATTTCATTAAAAAACCTGTTTACATTTTTAATTATTATAAATAAAATGGCAAAAAGCTTAATTTTGAGAGTAGGGATGGGTTTTATAAAAAAATTGTAAATGCTAATAATGAGTAAAATTGTCATTAAGTCCAACCCCACTTGAGATGTGACACATGACCACCTTCATCTCCTCATCCCATCAACCTTAAACCACTAAAATTTAATAGCATGAATTTTTTTAATACACAAACCTTCTTGCAAAATTTCAGAAAATTTGCAAAGCACAGGAATTATTAAGTTTCAAAGAGGGTAAACAAAATCATGCGCCCTTACACGCTAACATCCATACACACAGAAAAAATGCTGAACGTTTTTGCATTTCTCAACATTTCAAGGTCCCCTAAGTCCAAAAATGTAAAAATCTTCGGGGGGGGTCATGTTTTGATCGATCACCATACTTTCCCTCTGTTATTTGTAACAGAGCCAGGAAAGTAAATTAGGAGTCCATGACTGTATTTTCAATATACAAAGGTATTACAGTGACAATGTCTGTGCTCTCTGGTGCAACGAGTGCACCTAACAGAATTTAGACCTAAGGATCAAAAATAAAACCGGTATTATGTACGCTTTTTTAATTAATAAACATAAATTTGTATTTACATTCTTTTATTTTTTTGTTCCTTTATATTCTGAGGAAGATTGGTGAAACTGATTGAAAACATTTTTATTTTTTATTAAATTTGTTTCTGGAGTTTTAAAGGAATAAGTTTTTGTATTAATAAACATTTTGTGTGTTTCATTTGTTCAAAAAAAAAGATGACTAAAGGAATCTGCAAAGAGGCAGTCCATGCTACCACTGGGCTCAATACAAACTCTTGATGGTACTGGCAATATCTCAAAGTATAAGATTCAATTATTAAACACTGAATATATTATTCAATTACTCTTAAGCTGAATTTTTTACAATCATATTAAAATTTAGATTTAAATATAAGGATATGATCATTGATCAGTATGCATATTAATGATATTTTATTTGTATGCATGTATTCAGTTATTTCCATTTGGTATGGTTATAAATTCTTAATTTTATTATAATATATTTGGAAAAAGTTATCTATCCAGTGAACAAAATATTGTTAGTCCAAATGAAAATTGAAAAATCTGGAAGAAAAATGATTTGAAATTAATTAATTAAAATATACTACGATTAAGTTCAGGAATCCAATAGGACCCTCAGAATCAAAGAAGTAAATTAAATATCATTTTAATGTTTTTTTAATTATAAAGATAATTTTTAAAAATTCGTGTGTTGTCTGAACAAGTATTTTTTATCTGTATGAAACTATTTCAATTAATAATTCACAAGCATTTATTGAAATTGAAAGTATATTTAACTCCAATAACGTTTTCAATAAATATTAAATACATTATTGTCACTAATTCTTATATATTGTAAGTACTGCTAAATTAGTTTTAACATTAATAAAAACTTTAAGTCAGATTTTCTTGGAAAGAATAGGGTAAATAACTGAAGAAGAGAATAATTTATTCTCTGTTTAATTTTTAAATGAATTGTTTTATCTGCATGAAAATAATAATTCAAAAGATAAAATTATGCAATCAATATCCAATGATGATAAATGTTTAACTATAGTAGTATGTCTATGATGATCAGTTTTTTTAAAATTAAGATGGATTTAGATCTATAAATTCTGTTGATCAGTTTTGTCATTATGGTATTTAAGAAGCATTTATCAGGTTGAAAGAAAAAATTATAAAATTAATTTTTGTGTGTTGTAATAAATATCTGAAATAATGTAATTAGAAATACAAACTCTAAGATTACTTATATCTTAAGAAAATAAGTAATCAAATTTGATCACTTACTTTTTCAGAGTCCTATTTGAGTTCATTTATTGAAGCATAGCATTAGTGAAGCTTCTATGAGGCTTACAGAATTGTGTTCGTTCTCAATATCTCTTTGATAGATTTTGATTAAACTTTGCCATTTTTCATTAATTGCAGCACAGAATCCAAAAATACAATAAAAAAAGAAAATGGGGGTCCGTGATTTTGTTTCCAAGATATAAGGTTGTTTCAAGAGTATGTGCAACAAAGCGATATTGAACAAATTGAGCGACTTTGTCATGAGATGTTTCACAGTTGCTAGAATGTCTTTATGGGCTTGTAGAATCAAGTTCATCTTAAAATTTAATGGATCGATTTTGAAAAACTTTGCCATTTTCCATTAATTGAGACAAGGAATCCATAAATGTGATGTGGGTCTATTTAAATGTAAAATGTCTAGAAACAAATTGCTTAACTTTCCTGGCAACATTTAAAATTCTGGTGGTGCTGTCTGCTACAATATTTCATTAAAAAACCTGTTTACATTTTTAATTATTATAAATAAAATGGCAAAAAGCTTAATTTTGAGAGTAGGGATGGGTTTTATAAAAAAATTGTAAATGCTAATAATGAGTAAAATTGTCATTAAGTCCAACCCCACTTGAGATGTGACACATGACCACCTTCATCTCCTCATCCCATCAACCTTAAACCACTAAAATTTAATAGCATGAATTTTTTTAATACACAAACCTTCTTGCAAAATTTCAGAAAATTTGCAAAGCACAGGAGTTATTAAGTTTCAAAGAGGGTAAACAAAATCATGCGCCCTTACACGCTAACATCCATACACACAGAAAAAATGCTGAACGTTTTTGCATTTCTCAACATTTCAAGGTCCCCTAAGTCCAAAAATGTAAAAATCTTCGGGGGGGTCATGTTTTGATCGATCACCATACTTTCCCTCTGTTATNATAGAAATATTTTCAAAAGTTGAAATATTCAAGTACTATATATCGTAATAATTAAAAATATTTATCAGATATAATTTATGATTCCAATAATTATCCTATGACATTGTTGAAAATACAAATGGCATTACAGTCTTCAAAGCTCTAAAAGGAGATAGAAGGTAGCTGTGAATCATTTAATATGACAGCTAGTGTTAGCATGTTAGAAGTATGCTGTGGCAAAGAAAGGAAAGATGTAGTAATAATTAAATCTTTTTAAATGAATCATATAATAGGAATGCTTAATGCCAATTTGTCAGAATATTGTACATCTAGCATTCTTGGTTGTATGGTGAACACAATAGTTTGTGCAGAAATGATTGAACAGATATTTGTGCATATTGATTGCTGTGATTCATATTTGTGTAGAAGAGAGAACACTTTACCTAAAGTAACTGCTAGTTCGCCTATTGTACATATTGAAATATAATGAAATATATCACTTGCATCACAGACTCAAGAATCTGCAAAAATCATTTAATGGCATTTACTAGAATTTTGACTTAATTCAGTGTCCACTGTTGTCTTTGATCTAGCTTGCTACTGCCAAATATATTTCGTTGAGGAAAGCAGAAGTCATGAGGTACAGAAATGGTATCACATCATCTCTGATATACATGTATATGGTTCTGTTTGGGTATAATTGATGACCATATAATGTTTGGTATCATCAACAATGTTCAGATTTGTTACATTGCCATTAGCGTTGTTATGTTGATGATACCATAAGTTACAACTTAAAATTAAATTTTACATTTATTCAGAGAATATTGCAATTGTATTTAGAAGGTATTCTAGAACTACAATTATTACCATTCCTTTGTAACACCTTTTGTGTTATATTCAAATCAAATATTGCCTACCTCCATATGGCATTTCTAGCTCTAAATTATATCAGCATCTTTCTTTGACCATTTATGTCTTAATTTATTCTGCCTTGAATGCATGTGGGATATATTTAAATAGAGATGGCATTGCTGTCTTTGGTCATCCATTTTTTTTAATCATGAATACTTCCTGTTTCTTAAAAGTTATTAAGTTTTGTTACTATGTTGTGTAAGCAGATATGTTGAGATGGTAACGGTTGAAGTCTTCTCTGTAACTTTGTCTCCCAATATGGAGAATGATGTCAATTCTTTCTTTTGTTAGCAGTGCTATAACTATAATACTGTAAATGATTGAAACAACATTAATAAAGATTTGTGCCTGAAAGCTTCTATGGAATATTTAATATTTAACTTCAAAAGGAATCTTAACATTGAATTTTTTAATTTTTCACATACATTGGCTTACGAAAATGAAACTGATCAGGCAACATATGTCATAGGTACTGTACATCCTTTAGTATATTACATAATAATAATGATTTGATATATTTTACATTGTCTTAAAGATTTGGGTGTTTTCTGAGTTTTGATTCTCTCTGTATTATGAAATGAGACAAGACCAAATTACCAAACGAGTCTGAAATGATGATTATATTAGTTTTATGGATATTTATTAGTGATGTAACGAATATTCGGTTACTATTCAGTATTCGGCCTATTTTTTGCTATTTGGCTGAATACCAAATACCTAAAAACAGGAGTAAGAAATAACAAAAACACAGTAAATTAATCATTTTGGTATTTAGATTTAATGTTATTGGGTTAGTGTTGTTTGTTTATATTTATTTATAACTTATAACGTTCACAAAATAAAAAAGAAAATGATATTAGTCACATGTATTCGCAATTTATAATTACAAAGATCAGCAGACGTACACACTTATTTGTTTGAGAATCGTCGCACATCTGAGGTCTGACCCTGCCTATCCTTCTTTTTAAGCGCTAGTCTTTGCTCTTCCCTTTCTCTTTCCTCTATCGCTCTAGTCCAGGTATGCATACATCATAATACGTGCTCACGATACTTTCGATTTGTCACTTTTCCGTCGTAGATTTCCAATTTTACAATTACGTGACTCCAAGCCTGGTGATAACGGAGAAAAGAGACAGATAGGATGTTGGTATAAGTCACAGTTATGATTTCACAGATTTGAGACAGTTTGGTAGCTTGAACGGCCCCAGGCTTTCGCCTGTGCACGCTAAGTTTCTTTCATTACAAGCATTTAGCTTTCCGAAGTCTATGATAACAATTGTTTGACATTGACGGCCACAAATTTTGCGCCAATAAGCTGCCTCGACTTGTTTGATTATGTTATCAACTCAATTTCATATTTATTTTCACATTTTCACTTCGCAGTCCTTCTTTCTTCTTTTTCTCTCTTCTCTCTTCTTCTCTCTTCTTTTTCTTTATTTACACGTGTAGGTCATTTCATTGTTATCCACATTTGATATTATTTATCACATACAGTACTGCCATGACACTCTTATCTGTCCGCTACAACTGTCAAGAATTAACGTGATTGACGAAGCGTAGTGACAGCAGGCCAATAGAGAGCAGGGTCCTTGCCATAATGCACTTTCCACGCCAATTTTTGTACGTGTGTTAATCAAGCCGAATATTCGGCTATTCAGCCATGCTCCTGGCCGAATATTCGGTATTCGGCCTGAGGCCGAATACACTATTCGTTGCAACACTAATATTTATCATATACCTAAGCCTATTGAAAATGCTAATTGACTCAATATTAGAGATACTGAATCACTTCTTTCTTTCATGAAAGTATTTGTTCAGTGGTGAGAATTAATTTTAATGTTAACATTTATATATTTTTTATTTGTTTGTTATACTTCTTATTTATAATAGTAATTCTATTAAATATTATTGATTTTAGTTTTGTTTAGAATTTTTGTTTTGTTTTAATTTGATAACTATAGAATATTTTCATGGTTTTGTTTTTATAAGTGAATTCAGAATAGTTTATTTTTTCAATGTTCTAAACCTATTAGTTTTTTTAAATAAAATTTAAAAGTATTAGGTTTATTGTAATAAAGAATTGATAGTCTGTTGTTATGTTTTATTAACTTATTAGTTAATATNTTGATGTTGAAAAAAAATATTAAAATGATTATTAACTTAAATAATTTTATCTTTGTAGTTTTCAGTATTTAATAAATATTATTTTGCAGGACATTATTATATTATATTAAAATTCTTTGTTCCTTTACTTTAAAGAAGTAAAGGAACAAAGAATTTTTAAAATGTGTTTGATTGTTCACTTGGAGTGATAAACTCTTACATAAGATAACCTTTGTAGTTATATAAATCAAATAACCTCCTCCTGGAAGAGATGGTGGTCAATGACTACTAACTAATACTAGTTTACTATTAATATTTGAAAAGTGATTCATACATTTAAGTAAAAAATAGTAAAATCTTTTTTACTAATTTTTATGATAATATGGAGAAATAGTGTCCTCTGGTACACTATTTCCCCATATTTGCATTTTATAGCAGAGGCAGTAGACTCAAAAGCTCAAAAATTCACAAGTCTTCATACTTGTGAATTTTTATGACTGTTGCTGGTGTGAAACAACGGAAAGAGAAATGGTAGCAAGTATTTTATCTTTGTGAAAACATAGTATTTTTATATTTATTAAATATACTAAATGTGATTTACTGTCAACAACTGTTGATAGTAATAGTTGGTATAATTGGTAGTAATATGAAATTTCAAAAATTCCATAATTAAGAAATAAAGATGCTACATTATTGTGTGTCCTATATCATTATGGAATTTTTGAAATTTAAATATTTTATATACAAATTTTTTTCTAATTGACAAAATTTTTTTAAAAAATTGTTTTGTATGAAATAGCTTACTCTCCTGAAGCTTAATTCATATGTCATTTAGTTTGTTTTAATGATTAAGAAGTTTATTTCCTACTTTGTCTTTTTTTAAAGATAATTTGTAAAAAATTTTTGAGTTATGCAATATAGTGAATAATGAAAATTAAAGTGCTCTTTATTTATTTAGGATATTCCATTATCAGAAATTTTAGCTGTCGAATCGGCAAAATCAAATTTAAATAATGAATCAGGAAAACACAGGCATTGTTTTGAATTGAGAACTGCTAATATTGATTACTATGTTGGAGATGATCCTAATACTGCTCACAGTTGGGAAGTTACAATTAGACAAGCACTTATGCCTGTTACTACTCCAGTATCTTCTAATCAAAATCATGGTACCACAAGTAAATATCTTTTAAGTTGTTCATACTATTTAAAATGAAGGTCATCATCATAATAATGGAATTATTTAATATGTTGTGAATTATTGTTTCAGAACCAGTTCATGATGAAAAAGGAAAATCTTCAAATAGTTCAGAGCAAGATATGGTAAGGAAATTTTTCTAATTTAAAAATTTTTTTATCAAAACCTAAAAACTTACAATTTATAATTATTATATACTTGAGCTTCATAGAAATCAACTAAAATAATTCATATTTTCACAAAATTTTCATAATTTAAACATGTAATTGCTTTTATATAGCATATAAAGTTTTGAATTTTGAAAAATTGTTAACTAACACCTCAGTTTTGCAGAAAGTTAGTTTTTATGTGGAATATTAAAAAATAAATAAGAGCTTGTTTCTTAATACTCCATGTAAAAATATAGCTGCCACCATGAGCAAACAACTAGCCCATTTAAGGGCTAGTTGTTTGCATAAGGGCTAAGTAAAGGTACAATACCAAAATATAATTAACTTAATCTAAAAAGTATAACAAAAAACAAGTTTAAAAGAAAAATTAAAATTACTTATTACATTACTTATACAAATTTATTAGTTAAAATGTGAAAATTCTTCACTGTCAGATATAAAATTGATGGCTCTAGAAAAAACTGCAAGAATTATTGAGATAATAAAATTGTCTTAAAAATACATGAGTTTTCTCTCATATCTGTTGGAACATGGAATGATGAAAAAGAAGAGGATATGAAGCCAATAAAATATTTTTATACAAGAAGCATAACAAAATACTTTAGGTCTAACAAATCTTATAAAATGGATAATTTACAACATAGTACATTGGTGGACTTGGTATATGTCATGTATGATAATTTATTCAGCAATAAATATGATTTGTTTATTTGCATTCTAATTTCAAGTTATGAAGGAATTCACATTGATAAGCCATAATTGATAATTGCCTGGCAGTTAGTAAAAACTAATGCATAAATACATTGTTTTGAAGGTATATTTACAAAATTGCCAAAACATGCTGTACCAAATAGGCATATAATCATTTTATTAATTTGTGGCTTAAATGGCAGTTTCCTATCAAAAAATAGTTAAAGATCATAATAACAAATATCACATCATTTTTGTTTTATCAATATTAATTTTAGTATTTGTTTCCTCCAATTTTTGCACTATTCTTATGTAAATCATATTGATGAATTCCTTGATGACTATTAATCATTTTTATATCATCAGAATATGTTGTTTTTGACTTCATGTTTATGAAAATGATATTCATATATGAAATAAAAAATAGGCTACTCAAAAATAGATTGTTATATTGCACACTGGAGATAATTTAGAAAAAGTTATTCAATTTAATTTTATAACAATATAAACTGTTTAGCCATACATTTTTAAAAATTTTTTATCAAGATACTGGAGATAACTGAGTAAAAACTTCAGCTATAACCTAAATAAACTAAATTTGTCCCTCAATTTACACACAATATTTATTTCATATGATTGTTTTACTTGGTTAAAAGCTATGTACTTTGAGTCTAGATGATTCTAAATTTAATTATAATATTACATTACATTCATTATTATCTAAAATATTGACACAGTTAGCATGTCACTTTAAAAATAGCTTTTTTGATGTTGAAAAAAAATATTAAAATGATTATTAACTTAAATAATTTTATCTTTGTAGTTTTCAGTATTTAATAAATATTATTTTGCAGGACATTAGTTTACAGTATCAAATATTTCCTGAGGAAATGCTTGGGTCAGGACAGTTTGGAATTGTTTATGGTGGTATGATATTAAAACATTAATTTCAATCCATTTGCTGCTGATAAAAAATAATTTAGTATATTTATTTATAAAAATAAATATTTTGATTTTTTATTTAAATTTTAGGCGTTCACAGAAGCAGTGGACGAGCAGTTGCAATTAAAGTTATTGATAAATTAAGGTTCCCAACAAAACAGGAAGCACAACTAAAAAATGAAGTATCAATTTTGCAAAATATTCACCATCCAGGAGTTGTTAATTTAGATAAAATGTTTGAAACACCAGAAAGAGTTAGTATTTTTTATATTTCAACAATAATGAATTATTAGCATTTAATAATAATCATAATTCTATATGAAACCATATAGAAACTTATAAAAAGTGAAATTTTTCACTTCTAATTTCTAAAACCATTTTAAAAATGATATGATATGTATTTTGTTAATAATACTAAATCTTAATTATCTGATAACATTGACAAAATTTTGAGGGATGTTCTGTTACAATAATTTTTAAAATTTTTCTTATTGCAACTAATTCTAATGAAACTTTTAACTTGTTTTCTGTTTAAGTGATTTTACAATACATTTTCATTTTACTCATGATTTTATAATACTTTACAGAATTTTATTAATATAATCATATACAGTGGAACCTTGCTTAACGAGCATAATTCGTTCCAGAATCTTATTCGTAATGTGAAACACTCATTAAGCGAAACAATTTTTCCCATATAAATTAATGTAAATTACGATTTCAGTGTTCCATGCTGAAAAAAATATTCAAATATTTTATGTATGACATTTATACAAAGAAAATTATGCAATATACATTGTTAAGGAGTGTGCATTGTCTTCATCTTTTCTTCTAGCACAGAATGAACTAACTTGGAATGCGAATTCAATTTGCAAAAAACAATCACAGTTAATAAGTCTGATAAAAACACCAAACGATATACCAAATTCTTGGGCTATGTAAAGGCTATAATTAAATATTAAAAATTAATTAATTTGACTAGTGGTAGACAGTTATGCTACCATCTTGTATTAAATTTAATAATTATAAATAAATAATTTTTAATTTAGATATTTCTAAAATTTAATATCAGATGGAGCATAACTGCCTCCTCTAGTCAAATTAAACATTTATTATATAACTGGCTATGGTTGTTGATGTTTATATGTAATGTGTGTGAACACAAGTTTGAAAAAATATGTGAACACAAGCGTCACTAAGATGCTAACAGAACGAGTGCTAAACACAGACTGGCAGAGCATGCGCACAATCTGGGACATCCCCTCTTCTCATTATTCGTTATGTGAAACATCGCTTGTTAAGTGAGTCAATTTTTTACAAATTGTTTTGCTTGTTATGTGAAATACTCATTATGCAAGGTGCTTTTTAAGCGAGGTTCCACTGTAATAATAAAATTCTGTGAAAACAATATCATAAATTCAATTATAATGCTGAAATTTTGTATTGAAAGCAACATTAATATAGCAGTCACAGAATATATTTAAAAAAATATCATCTATTTATTTCCATCACAACCACAGAGCATATCATCCATGTAGATCAAATATTTTATTATATATTCATATTTAGTCATAGTAAAGACAGTACCATAGAACTAACAAAACACTTCTGAGGAAATAAAGATGGATTCTTATCAATTCTGATGCCTACATTTTGAAAATCATTAAGAAAATATCATATGTCAAAGTTTTCAGATATTGAAGCCTGTAATCTGTTATCTATACATTTACCAATGTAAAATAGATGATGCAACACTATGAATATTAGGAATACCACAATAAGCACTTTCAGTAAAGTAAAAACAAGCAGCTGAAACATGAAACTGATACACAGCATTCCCAAACTGAATGTATTGTTTAAAAGCACTTTAAACCAGAACTGAACTTTGTCGCTAGGTTTTGGAACAGTTTGTTGAGATTCTTCCAACAATTTAATCTTGTGCATCTTTTATTTTATTCTATTTTCATTTTACTCTGTGTTATAAAACTTACATACAAATAAATATTGAGTAAAGGCCATATTCAACTTGTTAAACAGTTGCTTTTAGTGCAAAGCTTTTGATTTCCTATGGGATTAAAACATGGTTTAGATTCCATGTAAAAATATTCATTCCAATCCTGATATATCTGCCAATGCTCAAAATGGTGTAAATAAAGAAACAAAACCACAGTACACATTAAAATGATTTTATGTTTACTGTTTATACAAAGATATATGGTATATCTTTTGATCCTTGCATGATAGGAATATCTGAAAGTGATTTTTGAAATTGGATAGATTTTTTTCTATAAGTATTACCTATTTTAATGCCAGAGGTATAAAAAATATTTTTGTTGGTGATGTAATTTTTTAATTATATCGTTTAATTAAGAGAATATTAATTACACTATTGTTTAATAAATCAAACTATATCAAATCAAACCCCAATAATTGGTTTAATTCTTTACTGTCTTTATGAATAGGAAAGTGAACTTAAATATTAATTACAGTAAAACTTCTCTAACCTAAACATCTGTAATTCGAAGAAAACTCAAGTTAAGAAATTCAAGTTGGAGATGTTAAATCTTTATGCTATTCCATTGAGACCTACCAAGTGCTTCAAATTTTCTCCGAGTCAAAGTTTTTCATGGTCCCCAACACTGATTTATGTTATTTTCAATTTCTCTGACTCGAATTTCAATATTTATTCTATCCAAAGTGATCTTAATTATTGGATTTTCATGAAATTTTCACAAAGTTGTATCTACTCTCAAACACCAATTTTCAGACAGTATGCTAGTCCAAAGTGAAGAATACTTTTGCTTTATCTCAATTTCATTTGTTACATTGAATGTTTTACTGAAAGGTGTTACATGGACTGTTTAAAACAAAAAACTATCAAAGATTGTTTATATAATGTAAAAGAAGTAAAAATGCAGATCTATTTAGAATCAGCATTTTTTACTCTAGTTTTATAACTTGAATTGTCTTTGAATTGTTTTCTCCTGCCTGTTAGAGAAGTTTTACTGTAGTTATTTATAAATACAGATTACTCTTGTATAATATGATAGGTAGGTTTCTATAGAATCTCAGGTGGTGCAAAGGTATATTATACAAGACTAAGAACCTGAATATTTTCCTTCCTACTGTCTTAACAAGTTCTACTGTTACACTGATTTCATTTTCTGTTAGTTCAGTTATACTTGCTAAATGAACCAGTTCTAGCCATATATTTTTCCAATATTATTTTGATTTAGTTCTTAAGAACAAAATTTAGTCATAGATACCTAGAGAAATTTATAATTGATCAAATAAAAATCAAAATATCTGTACAAAAACTTAAAAAATTATATATTGCATATTTTGAAGTTGTAATTTTTAAGTGTGAAACAAGCACAAATTGAATAGCACAGAACCTAACAAAATTTCTCCAATAATTTTTTTTACAAGTGTTAACAGATTAATAGTGGAGATGCACAAAAAAGGATAAAAATGTTGAAAAATTCATCCAACATAATAGCAAGGTTTTTCCTGCATAAAAGCTCAAATATTGTGTTAGAGAAATTGCAGAAATCCTCACACAGCAGTGTTAGAACAAAAACCATATTCTATAAATGTTGCATTTATATAGAAGTGATGTGTATTTGTTTAATATTAATACATATTTTATTATTAATTTGTATATAATTATAAAAAATTTGGTTTTAATTTAATTACAGAAGATTACAGAATTTTATTTTTTTTTTTTTTTGCAATACAATTACAATATCATTATATAACAATTTTACAACAATTTTTATTTACTCCTCTTTACTAATTGTAATGTTAACATTGTAATTACTAAAACAATTAAATGAAATTAAATAATTTTTATCAAAACTTATTTGCTTATTTTCATTTATATTTCATTATAATTTTATTTCAGATTTTTGTAGTTATGGAAAAATTAAAAGGTGATATGCTTGAAATGATTTTATCAAATGAAATGGGACGATTATCAGAACGGATTACAAAGTTTCTTATATTTCAGGTATTATGATAGTTTATAATAATAATTTTTTTATTTGAATTTAGACAATAATAACATCTCTCTTACTAGTAACCAGTGAGAAAGATTTAGTAGTTTCAATAAACTGTAGAGCAATGCTAGTGGGGCCATAAGCTTCCAATAGGGATACTCATGCCAATAAGATCTATGGGGAAAAATGAAGCAAAAATTGCATGCAGCTTCTGATTCAGCATTGGTGATGCTAAACAGCATCTGTTCCCATGTCACGTGGCTGATCTCATTGACAATACCTCAACAGCCACTCACAAAAACATACACAGCATAACATTCACTAATGTAAACATAAATGTAATAAATACAACCTAAAGACACTATAGACACAGAATTCAAAATTAGCATACTTATAAATTTATCTGAAGAAACATTCACTAAATACAAGGTCTAACCTACACAGATACAACAAATATCCAAAATACACATATCAAAACAAGAAAATTACACTATCTAAATGCACGCATGTTAACAAAACACATTTAACCAGAATTAATACTTTCAGGTATACATAATTAGTTTATATTACTGCATTCAATGTAGTTACACACTGTAACCTTATAAAGTACAATAGCAAACAAGCATAATGTAAGTACATACAAATTATAAGTTTGCTTGATAGAGAAGAGTAGAAACACAAATAAATAACATTAGATGACAGTTAGTTAGGCTGACACAATACACTAAAAACAACATAACACCAATAGATAATATAAAAGACATCTTCTTATGTTATTTTTTCACACCTTATGTTATTTTTTCACACCTTATTTTTTACACACTCACAGTCTAATGGTAGAATCAATCTTTATTTAGAGGCTATTTATCCACCTCAATATACAAAATGTTATAAAAAGTTTCCTCTAGCAACATGACAGAAATAAAAAATATTATATACATTTGATAAAATTGCCAAGGATGATAATTGTAAAAATTCACAAATATATAATATAAACAATTCAAATATACCAAAATATCCAGCACAAATTATACTTACTAAAACTAATGAAAAAAAATGCTTCTGATTTTTAAATTGTCATCTTTAGGTTAAAGCCAGTCAAACATCAATATGAAAATTTGAACATCACTTTAAAAATGCATGGAGCAGTCATTTCATTGGTTCATCATCTAAAACCCACAAAGTTGTCAGATTTACCCAACATCTTTCTGTACCAACAAATTGCAAGAACAAACCAACTTAGTATCTCCTGTATGAGGATTCTCAACTTTGTCTTTTTTTTTTTATATAGAATGCCAAAGACCCTATCAACATACAGAATTCATCTGGAGTATATTCTATCCCCATTATATACAGCAGATTCAACAAGAAAGGACACTACATAGGAGCAATGGCTCAATCTCTTTACAAATGTATCGTGGGCACCATTATTGTATCCAAAAATTATTTTTCTGAATCGGTTGTCCCATCATTGATTGGTCAGGCCATTGACTTTCTTGAACATAGGAAGTATAGGGAGTTGACCATCTGTGATTGGATCTAGCCGAGTAGCTTGTTCAGAAACTAAGTTATCGTACAGCAACTTGGGCAAATATGGCATTCTAAATTTTATTTGTAAACAGGATTGAAGAATAAACTACACCAATATAAATCCAGCAAAATTTAATAAAAAAAAACGTTTTCAATCGTTTTTCAACGATCATCCTCAGTCCTAGTCTCCTATAGATTTTGGCTGGCGTGGCCATCATAAAATATATAATAAATACGTACTGGAAGTAGAAGTTGAAGAATAAACTACACTGATATAAATCCAGCAAAATTTAATAAAATAAAAACGTTTTCAATCGTTTTTCAACGATCATCTTCAGTTACCAAAAATAGAATATTAAATATAGAACATAAAATGTGTTCGAAATAAATACAAAAAACAAAAATTAACGGAAAACGCCCTAATGTAAAATGAATGGACATTGGAAAGACACTATTCAAGTGGCACTGCGTGAGAAATTCAAACTGAGCTTAACTGAGGATGATCATTGAAAACGTTTTTATTTTATTAAATTTTGCTGGATTTATATCGGTATAGTTTATTCTTCAACTTCTACTTCCAGTACGTATTTATTATATAGTAAACAGGATTGTTCATAACCGAAAGTTTGACTGTACTGCAGAGAATGAATAAGGCACTTATTGTGTTAATAGTTTTTTCTTGCAAAGCATCATGCCTCATTTACCACACAAAAGTCTAGAAACATTGGGGCTTCACAACAACACAGAAAAGCACTTAGATATACTATACACAAGAAATTCTCAAACATAGATACATTTGTGAGCAACACATAATTATAATAGTAGTTTATTCTGTGGTTATGCATTGATCCCAGTTAGGTATACTACAGTAAGACCCCACTTAATGCTGATTTGATATAACACCATCTGCTCAAAGCCTTTAAAAAAAATCAAAATTTATGCTGATTTAAATTATTGCGGCATTTCATTGATTCGTATATAATACAATTATTTGCAAACAGAAACCAATCAGCAAAAGGTGGCAAAAAAGTGTACTTTGTTTAAATCTATTTTTTTTTTTGGTGCAATTTTGGAAAAAATATATCATCATGGATGCCATAGGCAATATCGGCTTTGCATGGCACGAATTAACTGATAAATGCACGAACAAAGTGTGGAAAAAGTTATGGCTGAAGATATCCAAGAATTCCCAACGAGAAGAGCCTATCACTGTATCATTAGGTTGATCAAACTAAACCTAATCGATACAGCAGGACTAGGAGATGTAGACGAACAGGATATTGAGAAGTTACTCCAGGTTTCTGGTGAGTGTCTTATCAACGACTTTCAAGAACTGGCAGAACAGGAATCTGTGTAGGACTGGAAAATAGTGATTCTGAAAATGGAGAGCCAAAAAATTTCTGTACAGATTTCCTTAGTAAAAGTTTGGTAACTATAACCAAAATCATTGATCAAATTGTAGTGAATGATCCAGATTTTGAAAGGAGTGCAAAAGCAAAATGAGCTACCAACATTTGCTTAAGGAAAGAAAAAAGTGACAAATGAAACTTTATGACTTTATCACAAAAAAACAAGAATTTCAGAAAAGTCAGGACCTTTGTCACAAAAAATGAACTATTAATATAGAAAAAATGAACTAATTAATATATTATTATACATTTCTCTGTGCATATGTTTATGTGTTACTTAACATATATTATTATACTAATTAATATAAAAATAACTTAAAACTAAAGTAATATTTTTTTTATTTTTGGTTGCGTGTTTCCCTATTCCTATTTACTCTGTTAAAATGACCTCGTTTAACGTTGTTTAGCGCTTTGTTGTCTAGGAACGCATCCCCCACGTTAAGCAGGATCTTACTATACTAGACATTAGAATGTATGCTATGTAGTGTATACTCCACTACCATTGCTATAATGTTTTGATTTTCTTCAAAATTTAAATGGTTTGTTTTTACCTTTTACTAGAGAAAGATAAAGTACTTTTAATTCCTAAATGTATATTTTTAAACATTGTTAGTATTTAAAAAATTTTTTAAACTAACTAATTTTATTTTTTAAAGATTTTAATTGCATTGAAACATCTACATTCTGAAAATATTGTTCATTGTGACTTAAAACCTGAAAATGTTTTGTTATCATCTGATTCTGATTTTCCACAGGTAAATTTTTGTTTTTAATATTTTTTTCTTATACAGTTATGTATGTATAATTAAAAATTTACATTTTAACTATTCCGTTAAAATAATGTTCTAATACATGCTTTTCATCCTTTAAATCAAAAGTTTTGTTGATCGCATTGAAATGATAGTTTTTATCTTTATTTTATATTGTAAATGAATGTGAATGCCTAGAAATTTTGTATCAAAGGATCAAAGCTCTGAATGAAAGGTGCAACAATGTTATGTTGAGGATTGCTTATTAATAAATCAAATTATATAGATGAGAATAAAGATAAATTGATTAAATTTGTAGATACATAGTGAAGATATCATGTAGAGAGAAATTTTACTTCAAAGTATGTGCTCAGAGCCAAAGAGAAAATCTTTCAAAACTGTTTCATATTTTTTTAGTAAAAACATTTGAAATATTTTTTTTTCCAATGATACTAATATGTATGCTTCAATTTTACATACTTCTTAAATGATACTAATTTCTTGTGTTTGGTACAGAATATATAAAAATACAGTAATTATTTTTTTAAAAAATATGATTTGCTTAATATTATTCTACAGTGCAGTTTTTTAAAATAATTATTAAATATAAGTGATTCTTTGTAATTGTTAGTGTAAAATGCATTTTCACATTTTTCACAAAAAACAATGGATTTATGATGATTATTTACATTTATATAATTTTATTCGTATTTTATATGAACTTAATACCAAATAAAATTAAATATTCTTTTAATATTACTTACAATTATTTTGTTTAAATTTGCATTTAAGATTATATCATAAATAAAGCTAAAACATCTAGACACTAAAAATAATAAAATTAGGCAGGCAAAATAGGGACTTAAAATTTCAAAATAGACAATTTAGTAGATACTAATACTGAAAATAGGTGTTTAAAAAGCCTCAATACTAGTTAAACTGCTTCAAAAAGTAATGTGCTACAGGTTATATATTAGAGATTTAGTTTAAACAATAGTAATTTGTTTTACATAATCATCCATAGAATTTTCATTGTTTTGCTTAATTTTTACATATTAAGTACTATAATATAAATTTTTTTATTTATAATAATTAAATTTAATTTTAATAATTTCTGATGGGTAATTTCTTATAGGTAAAATTATGTGATTTTGGATTTGCTCGTATTATTGGAGAACGATCATTTCGCAGATCTGTTGTTGGTACACCTGCTTACCTTGGTAAATTATTTTAAAATTATGCTTAATCTATTAAGTAATTTAATTGTTAAATTATTTGAAACTGATTTGAAAATAATAATGTTTTTACTAGAAACCAAGTTTATTTGAAAAAATATTATTATAAAAGCTCATTTAAAATAACAAAAAATAAAAATAAAAAAGATGAAAAGGGAAATACAGACAGAGACTAAATACAAGCTGAAAACATAAGATTGCAAATAATTGAATATTCTGTTTAAGTAGCAGTAGAATATTCATAACATGTTACAAAAGATTACTTTCTATTGTGTTAAGATAACACATGTAAAACTGTATATTTTAATATCACAAATATATTTTTTTAATCTTATTGTTAGTTGACACATTAACTGCCTGTTGTAATATGATATTTTGCATCAGGGAGGCTAAAAAATGAAAATTTGATTTCTAATAATTGATTATAATGTAAATAAAAGGGTCCACGAAGACCTATAACAGTCAGGAGAGGGGAGATAAGAAAAGTGTATACAAAGAAAGACGGGGGAGTCTTATGACCTTGAACATGAGACTGCTTTCTCCCAGGCAATAAATTTTACAATCCCACTATAATTAGATGTCCTTCCCTACTTAAAAGTATTTACATCTGTGTGTTAAAGTATTTCACACTTTGTTTCCACTGNTTTTTCCCAGGCAATAAATTTTACAACCCTACTGTAATTAGACATCCTTCCCTACTTAAAAGTATTTACATCTGTGTGTTAAAGTATTTCACACTTTGTTTCCACTGCAAATGATGTTTTTTTTCTGTAAATATATATTAAAATGCACTTATATACTTTGATTTTTCTTTTTTTTTTGTAATATTATTTACTTTATATGCGATAAAAGAGAATAATTAAACTAGTTTTTGATATTTTAAATTATTTACTATTAAAATAAACCACTCTCAGATATAAAATAGATTTTTATTTAAAAAAAATTACAACTGCCGACCTTGTACAGCGTCATAATGCCACACGACGCGCCAGCAGTCGTAGCTAGGACCAATTTGCCATACGACCGCTGGCGTTTGAAGCCAACTGAATAGATATCCATGAGAGGCCAGCACTAAGCATGCAGAAAATGTCGTATGAGGCCAGGAAAATTTAACCTCGAATAAAACTACATTGTTTATGACTACGGGCTGTTGTATGGCGCTGACGGGAATTTCCATTACAACAGCACGTGCGTCGTGTGGCAGTTAATGTGTTAATGTCAATTACAACATGATAACTTGCTTTCTTTATTGTAATAACAATAGAATTAATTAGTATGAAACATGTATTGGTATATTAAACTAAAATTGATTAATAAATAGTGGATTTTGTATTTAGTTTTCAGACAGTTTTATAAATTATGATTTAAAACTTTTCAAAATGTTTTTTCAAAAATTTGTCTTCTCTTTTATGCAAATATTGCATAATGATGAATGAAGTAGAATTATAGAAATAGTATCTAGAATTATAATGTAATCATTATATAAAATTAGAATATCATCATAGAATTGCAAAAAGATTATTATTATGAAAAGACTTAATATCTAGTTAATTACTTTCTTCATCATGAATATGAAAGTGTAAAATGAAATTTAGTTTTCTAATATTTAGTAATCTTGAAACTGATTCCAAATTACATTAAAAAATTAATTAATACAAGTCATTATGAAAGTTTGTAAATATGAGCAAACCATTTAAAATGTATATCATAAATTGTGATTATTTTTGAAAGTGTATTGTTTGTGCATTTTTTCATTTCGTGAGTTATGCATTGAAATACTTGTCTATTTCTTTTTCAAGATCATTGCAACTCTATTTGTAAACAGATAATAATCTCTATTACACTCATAATATTATGCTTGAGTTTTTCTTTTAATTTTGAAAATAAAAATAAATTATACAGATAAAAGCTGAGTATACAATTTATGAAGATTGCATTTAAAGTTCTTCATTGCAATAAACATAACTTGTGATAGCTTAATTCATTCATTAGAATACTTATACAATGAAATTTCCTTTAACAGACATCTTTTAATAACTGACATAAAGTTGTCCTATGATATTTTATATTAATTTCCATAAATATTTTGCTTCTTAATGTAGTCATTCTGAATAATGGACGTGGCTATTAATCTTATAATAATGGAGAGTCAGTAATTTGATATCATTTGATTTATTATTATGAAAACTATATCTGTGTTTTTTTTTGTTATCTCTTTGATGTCATCTCTTCAGTTTTATAATAATCAAGTTTAAAAAATGGTGTCAAATTGACATAAAAGTGGACAGTTATCCTAATTGAACAAACCCTAGGTCAAAGCCAAAAATATTTACAATAAAAGTTTTGCTGTTAATAGTTTGAATGATACTTTATAAAATTAATTAATTTTTTTATTTGAAACTTAAATTAACAATTAATTTACGTTTTAAATAAAAAATGAAATGTCAGTTGAAGTCACAGTACCACCTATATTAATTTCAAAACCCTTTAATGATCATCAATAAAACTTTGTTTCAGAAATTATTAGGTTTGCTTTGTAAATTTAAGTGGTTATTTCTGATATATTTCTAACATTAAAGAAAAAATTGATAGACTAAAATTAAATGAAAAATTAAGTGTGAATGATTTATCATTGAAAACAAGCATAGGAAATTTTGGACAAAGAATGGAAATTAAAATATTTAAAGTGAAGCCTCTTCTATGAGGCTTACAGAATTGTGTTCATTCTCAAAATCTGTTTGATTAATTTTGATTAAACTTTGCCATTTTCCATTAATTGCAATGAGGAATCCAAAAATGCGATAAAAAATGGGGGTCCATGACTTTGTTTCTGAGAGATAAGGTTGTTTCACAAGTGTCCATGACAAAGTGATATTGCATGAATTGTGCGACTTTTTCTTGTGATGTTTCATGGTCACTAGCATAATTATGGGCTTCGTTATAGAGCAAGTTTGTTCTCAAAATTTAATGGGCTGATTTTGATAAAACTTTGCCATTTTCCATTAATTGCAGTGAGGAATCCAGAAATGTAATGAGTGTCCATTTAAATGTAAAAAATAGGGATTGAGAGGTTTTCAATTACAAAAAGGTTAAACTGACAATGTCTATTCTCTCTGATATGACTGAGCATGCCTGACAGAATTTAGACCTAGGGGTCAAAAATAAAAACAGTGTTGCATGTGCCTAATGGAAAATAAGCATGAAAATGAACAAAACACAAGAAAGCAATTGCCATTGACATTGATTGCTTTATTCTTGGATAGCCTCTTCGTGTCAGCAAGTGCAAGGATCGTCTCTCTATACCTGGTCAGCCAAGGATTGTGACTCCTGTGGCCAGCAAGTACAAGGATCAACTCTTTTGTGGCAGCAAGTGCAAAGCTGACCTGTCCACATCTGTCAGGTGCAAGGATCACTTCTTCTGTCCCTAACAAGTGTAGAGATCACTTCTTTCTTTCCAGCTCTGCTTCAATTCTACTGTGATATGACAAAATCACTCAATATCTTAGTTAAAAGGACATTAAAAGACAATATTGAATGTTTAGTCATATATGCTATATATCACATATGAATGTGAGCATCAATCTACCATCTGTGAGGTTGTTTTGTAATTCAGTTTTTATGCCAAAAACATTTGACCAGTTAAAATTTTATGGTGAATATGAGATAAACAAACTCAGTTTATGTAAATGGTGATGTTTGTTCAATAAATAAAAACAAACATTTTTGATGAAGATTATTCCACCTGATTTTTGCTTGTGGTGATGACTTGAAAACCAAGATCAATCAATACAAACACTAGTACTTCATCATCAATGAAAAATTTCATGAATTTTATGTTCTCTAGTTCACGAAATTTGATTGACCACCCCTAGTATATAAAAGATTACACTAAGTTCATTCTAAGAATGTTGACAGAAGAGCCATGCCGTTTTTGTGCTCCTCTGTCAACATTCTTAGAATGAACTTAGTGTAATCTCTTATATACTAGAGGTGGTCAATTCTTGAGTATTCCAACAAGATAGAAATGACTTTTTTTTTTTTTTTTGTAACTGTGAGTGAAACCTTGGTGTCATACTTTGCTCTAGAAAGCAAAAGAATCTATACAGTGGCATAAAACTGGGTCAAGAACAAAACTTGTTTACATAGAAAGCTTTGGTAATAGCAGTGGTGATATTCGAAATATATAACAAAGGGTTCGCTAACAGAAAATTTTTCCTTAACAATTTTTTTTTGCTCAAATGGTGCATTAGCAACATTAGCGCAAAAACTGACCTTAAGATACCCATATAAATAAAAAAGATGCGTTGGCAAAATTAAGTCAGTTAAAGTTTAACATTGTTTATGCCAGAACTATATATATATTGATAAATAATAAAAAAAAGTGTTCAAAATGGTTTATTTTGTACATATTTTAATATTTTTCATTCGAAGTATTTTATAAACATAAAAATTGGCTTATTTTTAATCAGAAAAAGTCAGGTTTAACTGCTTTCCCTATGACTTTTCCTCAAAAAAAAAAAACTTTTCTAAATCATTATTTTATCATTAGGTATTATTATAATAAGACAGATGTCATTGTATATCGAAATACAATATTTTTTTTATTTCGCTGGCAATAGCACGACACGTGTTTCGCAGCCATCTTGTATTTTCTCGCGCACGTGGGATTGTGGGACCTCTGGTACAACTGGACTAGTTTCAAGAACTCTCTTGATTCGATCGAGATTGAAACGGTCGATGGAGGTTGCACCAAGGCGAACGGGGTATAAGGCTCTAGTTTAGTGGTGTTACAGAGTGTAATACGTATATTTTAATATATTTTTTAAAAGCAACAAAACCACTGAAAAATATTACGTGTGTTTAACAACGGGTTCGGAAAATTTTGAAAATGTTAACAACAAGTTCGGCCGAACCTGTGCGAACCCATTGAATATCGCCACTGGGTAATAGTGTTCATGCTCTAAGGAATCATAGTTAATACTGCTGCTTACTGTGAAGCATTAGACTACAGTGTGCATTCCAAAACAAATGATGTGGTCTTTTGTCATCAGAAATTATTTTCATTCATGATAGCATGTGATCTCACACTGCTGCAGTCATATGAAATTGCTTCAGTAGTTTTTCATTGGAAACTTTTTGACTTTCCAACATACAGCTTGGATCTTGCTGAAGTGATTTTATAAAACTGAAATGGCATTTTAGAGGGAAAATGCATAAGAACATGTGATAAAGTCAATGATATTGTCAGTGATTTTTTGAATGGACTGGCAGCAGAACAGTATGGCATAAAAACTGGTTTGACAGACATTGGTCTGTGATAACTGTGTTGAAAAATAAGCTAATACATGTAATATTTGTGGTACAGATTTGTTGAAAGTAGTTTTCTTATTCTTACATTATAATCAAATGATTTTACTTTCTGGATGTTCTTTTTACTGTAGCATTTAAAATAATGATTAATTTTTAATGTTAATAAACAAATAAGACTTATTTTAGAACTATTAGTGCAGAGAGATCCTTCACTTGAGAATGTCCAGACAATCAGCTTTCCAGTTTTTAATACTGTAATTTTGTAAATGTATTTTTAAAATTGAACTGTTTACATTCTGTCACAATAGGAATGTATTTAAGTTTTAAATTTTTGCTGGATGATAAAATTTTCTTTAAAAATTAAGACGTAGTCACTTCCAAAAATTCTTGGGTGATCATCATATTTCTTTTAAATGTTCCTTAGTAAAAACTTCAGATGACCCAACCTTCCTTTTTAGGCTATGTGGTCGTCCTGGGAAAAGTTCCTTAAAACATAGAAACAACTAATTAAAAAGTAATAATTTTTTTAGAATTGGATTTGATGATCTTATGACATCTTGCTTATTTCATCCTTCTCTGTTCAGGAGTTTCTTTATATCTACTGGAAATTTGCACTGTTTAATGTAGATTATCTTCTATTCTCTCTCTGGCGGTGAATTATTATTAAATTTTAGGTTTTAAATTTTCGCTGGATGATAAAATTTTCTTTAAAAATTAAGACGTAGTCGCTTCCAAAAAATCAAATCCAATTTTAAAAAAATTATTACTTTTTAATTGATTGTTTCTATGTTTTAAGAAACTTTTTCCAGGACGGCAACGTAGCCTAAAAAGGAAGGTCGGGTCATCTGAAGTTTTTACTAAGGAACATTTAAAAGAAATATGATGATCACCCAAGAATTTTTGGAAGCAACTACGTCTTAATTTTTAAAGGAATGTATTTATTTGTTCCTGTCAGATCAACATTTTGCAGTAGGAATTTATGAATAACATTTGAACATAATATCCTTAACTGTAAATTAGAAGTATATACACCATCTGATTTAATACAATGAGGTCAGTAAAAATATCTGATAAGGATTGAATTTAGCATTAAATTAATTGTTGCTTCAATGCTTTTCACAAGCAAGACCCAAGAAGGCTTTTGCCTAGAAATAGGTGAGTGACCAATTGAGATGTAAGGATGAGAGTTTAAGACCATGGCCCCAATTTATAAAAACTCATGTTTTAAAGACATGGTGTCCCATGGTAGTTTCTGTCCAGCCCACTGTGATATCTATCAGGCTTGCTGCTGTTCTTTGTCTGATGACTCTCTTTTACTTCATTGTCATAATTAGTATATGTGTACTTCTCTATAGTTTCCCTGATTTTGAAAGTTGTTCTCTCAACCTGGAAGGTCCTGTGATCTTCCTGGATCCAGGACCTTCCCTCGTTTGGAGATTCTCCTGAACTTTCTTCTTTTGGAACTCTTTTAGTATAGACAAACTGACTCGTTTTTTGAATGATTGTGATACTTTGGTATGAAAATGGAATCTCTCTCTCAATAAACAGTTTAACAAGTCATTCTTTATCTCAAACACATGCACTCACATATGTTTCCTTTTCTGTCCTTTTGATTCCAAAAATTTTTTAAATTTCTTTTCTTCAATATCTGATTGTGATTAAGATAATCAAAACTTCTTCCAAAACTTCAGACTATGAGGCGTTAAATATAATTAAAAATAATTTATTCTTGCGAGTGCTTTCGATGTAAATATGCACGTCATCTTCAGGCAATACAAAATCGAACAGAGAATTCGAACCATACATTTAAATTTAAACATTAACGATATTAGCCGTTTTTTGAATATAACTATTATAAATAAGATTTAAATTTTAGAATTAAAAACATTTAAAAATATTTAAAATTGGTACGCATGCGTTTTAAAACAAATAAACTTCGATTGGAATGGCTATTAATTATTTTGTAAACGCAAAAAACTGGCGCGCGTGCACCTTAACATGCATAACATAAGAGCCAATTAGGGAGGCTATTAAGAACAAGTAAATTTGATTGAGATAACTGTTGGCGTGACATCCAACCCCAGTACTTAATACTCCTAACAAGATTAAGATAATGTGACCTCAGACTGAATTATATGTTTATTTAAAGAAGAATGTCAGAACTCAGAAAAAATTTGTATGAATGAGAATTAAATTTATTAAGTAATTTTATACACATTTCAAATATGAAACATACACAAAAGTTTCACTTCTGTATTTTTTACATTTTAGTTTTTTGTGCTGTTAGTCAATGAGATTGATAAAACACAAATGTTGACACTTGTAATCATTAGCTATTTATTTTTCAAATAAAATTACTTAAATGTAAAGATTAAAAATTTGAATAAATGTTAAGACTGCCATCACAATTTCTTTTATTGGTTTATACTATTCACTCTCTTCCCAAATTTATTAAAAACATGTTTTAGAATATAGCTTAGCTACCATATTTTAAACCAAGAATATTGCAAACTATATGTACAATACATTTCTTTTTCATTGTGTTAAAGTATGAATATTTGTGAGAAGAGAACAAGAGATACATAGTATTTCTTATTTACATTTTTTTTCTTGTTTTTATGAAATATAAATTATTTTTTATTCTTATTAAATATTGTGTATATATATGTATATTAAGTAATATATATATGATTTATAATTTATAAATAATTTGAATTTAATTTTTTATCATTGAAGTATGGAGAAATTATTTAATTAACACTCTAATCAAATTTCATTTCATGCTAACTTATGTTGTTAAGAAAAACTAAATATAAAAAAGAAAAGTTATAAAGTTAAAAAACAAAAATAATTTTATCTTAATTTCTTTGTTCAGCTCCTGAAGTTTTAAGAAATAAAGGTTACAATCGATCATTAGATATGTGGTCTGTAGGAGTCATTATTTATGTTAGGTATTTATAATTTTTTATTTGGAATATATGTATGTACCATGTGTATATATATTTAATTATTTTAATGAATTAATATTCATGTTTAATTTCAGTTTAAGTGGTACTTTTCCATTTAATGAAGAAGAAGATATAAATGATCAGATTCAAAATGCTGCTTTTATGTATCCACCCAATCCTTGGAAAGAAATATCTGCAGAAGGTAGTCTTTTTAATATCAGAATTGTTTTAATTCATTTTTGTGTTATTGCTATTACAATTAATTTTGATTTATTTTTTAGCAATTGATTTAATCAACAACTTGCTCCAGGTTAAAACAAGGAAAAGATATACTGTGGATAAATCACTCTGCCATACATGGTTACAGGTAAATATATGAATTTGTTATCTTAATAGCATTTGTACAGCATGAAATCTACACAGAAGTGTTGAACTGAGGTCACAGATATTATGTTATGAAGGTTTTGAAAAAATTTATTCCTCTTTAAACTTTTGTAATAGAAAAATATGAGGGGATGTCTGATAATTAAGGTACAGATCAAAATTACATCAACATTTTTAAAAAGTTTTGAAAAATTCAATAAACACTACATACTAATGCTTACTTTTCCACATTGTTTTCATAAGCATTCAGATATTTATCTCAGCATTTCATAAGTTTAAACATTCTTTCCAATAGTTTTCCTATCCAAGCATCATGATACTACACAACTGTGGTTTGCAATATGTTTAGGTCTTCAAATCTTTTTCTTGATAAGTCCTTGAATGGGCTGAATAGGTGAAAATCTAATAGGCTAAATCAGTCTATTCGATAGATCCTGCAGAACTTTCCATTTCTGCTTTTCCAATCAAGCTTTTGTCTGATTTGTAAGATTGTGTTCAATCATGCAGAAGTCCTAGTTTATAATTGTCTTGATCTTTTAATGCTGGCAACAAAATTGGTTTTAAGTAAAACTGATTAACCAGTTTTCAATAAATTGCAGTTTTAGCAAAAAATATTAACAATATTTACTGTCAGCATTACATCAAAAACTTCAATTATACGTTTAATTTCTTCATTTTGTTGTCTTTCTAACTTGTTGATTTCCAAAAGTGCTTTTTTATGTTTGTTTTATAGTAATTCAATTCAAAAACACAAAAATAAATATATTACATTTAGAAAACTTGCTATAAATTATTTAAACTTACATCCACTTTGTGTGAAATTTGAGAGGAAGTGTTATTTTTAAGCTCAGGTGGATGGTCAGTATAGCTACTACTATTAATGTCAATAAGCCACTAATTATTTTATTGTCATGTAAACAAAAACTCTCTTCTTGATTTTAAGTCAGTCAAATTACAAAGATATTATATTATTGTACTCTGAAGAACTGGTAGCCCAGGACACCCCTAGTGGGCATTCTAGCAGCAGCAGTGTCATTCTGTGGTATAAATAATAAAATTCATATAAATAATAAATTCCTATTACAAATAAAAATAATAGTATAATTTATTTATTAACAGTATATATTAATTTAAATAATAGCTGAAAATCATTGCTAGGGACACCCCCTAGTGCACGTTCTAGGCATTCTGTGACAAATGACAGATACATAAACAGTGGGATCAATGGCTTATATAAGTAGATGGGTTTTTAAACATTTTTGTTTAACAACTAATTTTGTTAGATCTAATTAATTTTATATTTTAGTTGCAATTTAACTGGAATGCCAGTAACTCTGGGTTTCCAGCATGCTGATCTCCCCAGTTTATATGCAGCAGGCTGATCATTATGCAAAAATATGGTAAGAGAAGTAACAGAAATTGTTTTAAAACTAAAAACATGCTTTATTCGATTATATATGAATTGTGGAGGTGTTTGCCAACAAAATTTGAAGTTTACACTTGTTGAAATAGCTGCACACATAGAGACGAGAAGTCAAAAAAAGGTAAAGGGCACATGTTAAAACAGTCTTTATATTCCTCTGGACTCCCTCTGGTGGTGATTGGGTAAACTCCTGAATTGGTTCCAGAGAATCATTGTTTTTAATAACAAGTTGCCATCTATGGGGAAGCTTTATGATACCCTCTTTATAGAACTTTCCAGTTTTTTCCATGAAAAATGATGGTTTTTGCAAGCTTTCAAACCGTCAAAGTTTTTATCATGAAGGGAATTCTATAAGGCCCAAAAGAAATGGTATTCCAATAGCACAAGGTCAGGTGAGTGTGGTATTGGGTAAATCATCTCGTCATAGTTCCAATCAATTTTAGTGTGTTTATAATTACTAGCAGACCCCGCCACACGTTGTTGTGGCTCAAAATGTATCTATTATAAATGTATAACACTTCCCCCATGGGGGTGGAATTTTTGAAAAATTCCTTCTTAGTGTACATTCTCTTGATGTACCCTATTAAAACGAATCAAAGACACAAAAAACTGCATCTAAAATAGTATAAATAGAAGCTTACGGTAAAGAACTCTTTACCGTAAGCTTCTATTCTACCGCAAGCCTTAATCCTGTCCATCTCCCCCCAGTGGGGGGAATTTTGACATGTATATTATATAAAAACACGTGCATATTCAAATGCAGCGTTGTGTCAAAATTTCAAAGGAATCGGTAGGAACAAACGAACATTACATTTTTATTTATATAGATAGATAGAAGATGATCTGCTTTAGTTCATCCTCAAAGAAAAGCATAATTCCTCACATGAAAGCAAACTTAGGTCATTGTACTCGTAGTGCCATCTGTTGGACATAAATGCCTTAACCCTAGATGATATCTTTTAATTTATATGAATGTTTAATGGATAATATACAGCCTATGTCCACCCTGAAGTTCCATTCTAAATATTGGTGAAAGAATTTTTGAAATTGGATGAGTAGTTTCGGAGATTACCCCCTACATCCAAACTTACAAACATTACCTCTTTATAATATTAGTATAAAGAAAACTAAGCAGTCTGGCATTATCTTAATGAAACACGATGTTTTTTTATGTTGGCAATTTTCAGACTTTCTTCAATTGCCATCTTTAGTTGATATAGTTGAGAACAATATTTATCAGAATCAATTGTTTATTCTGTGAAAGGTAATACAAGATTACTTTCCAGTCTCACCAAATGGTGAGCATGACCTTTTTCAGATGAAGACCAGCCTTTGAAGTATTTAATGGTGGTTAATTTTTATTGCCCCACAATTATTTTCAGTTGATGTTGATCATTTATTAAAACGATCCACTTTTCATCACCTGAGACCAAACATTTCAGAAAGAGAATATTTTCATTTCATTTTATTCAAAGAGAATTACAAATGAAGATGTAATCCAATGAGTTTTCCATTTTAGCTCCTGTGATTTTGGAGAAGCTGGAAATAGTGTAGTAATTTACTCATACTGTATATAATTATTATATGATGCAATATAATTGTTATTGAATTTACAGATGTCATGTGCTTTGTATTATATATTAACTAAACTTATTAACATTGAAATGCCTATCTTTATCTACTTTATATTAATATAAATTTAGCTTAACTTGATTGCATAATAGCATAATAACAGGGTTTGGTTGTCTGTGTGTGTACATATATATATATATAATGTTGAAATCAATAATAATTTTATATTTATTTTATTTCAGGACTATCAAACATGGTGTGATTTAAGAGAATTAGAAAATCAAGTTGGCTGGAGATATTTAACTCATGAATCTGATGATGCTCGTTGGGAAGCCTATCGTAGAGAACATAATTTACCTCCATCTATATCTCATACACAAAATGAAGATAATGCTCCCCCACCAACATATAGTCTAACAACGTGTTCACAGTCTAGGCGAGAAGAAGACAACACTGGTATGTTTGGTCGTATTCGTCTTTAAAAAGAAGAGAAAGATATGAATAAAACTGATATACGAAACTTGAAGCAGTTCTATTCTGTGATATCTATAGAAGAGACTTTTTTATTTTGTTTTATTGCAACATTGGAAGAGTTGTTGAAATCTTTTAATAGAAATCTGTTACATATTTTTGACTATAATCATGTTTAAAATGTTACTACATCTACTCAATTTACATTCCAACTGTGGAACACAGGAGAAAAGGTACAAGTTTTAGAGAATTTATTTTCTAAAAGACAAAAGTATTTTTATAAAAAAAATGCAGCTATAAATAATAATTCCTTCATGTCATAACATAAAATTCAAATTTGGAAAACCAAATTTTTAGTAAAATCACAAAAAAAAAGCATTGACATTGTTAAGGTTGAGGTTGCTTCCATATTTTATTCAGTAACTGGTTATGGGAATATATATTGTATGTGTATATATGTAAACAAATAATGTGTCTTAATATGTAAATATTTCATAATGTCAGATGAATTTTTAGTTTCATGCCATCATCATAAAATCTAGAAAAATTTTTCTAGTAACTTCTATAAATGATTAAACTATAAAATTAATTTTTACATTTTTTGCATTCCATAAAATATACTTTATTTTTATACATTATAAACACTTTTTTACTCAAAATTTATTGAAAGGAATGTTAATAAAACAACTGTTTTCCACAAAGTATTTTACATTTTTTGTTCAAATCTAGTAGATATTATAATAAATCCATACAGCTTCATAAATTTTTCTCTGAATATAGAGCTTTATAAAATAATTTTAAAGGATCAGTACATGTATTATACAGTTTATATATAATATCTTTGGAATAAGAGAAAATATCAATTTAAGAAATATGAAAGTTGTTAAATAGTATAATAAAGCAACATAATATAGGATGGTCATAGTCTTTCTCTGATTACAAACATTTAATATTTGCTATAATGTTGTACAGACTGTTTACAATCTATGCAACATTACAGCAAAACTATAGGATTTAGCCTAAATTATGCTATATATCATATATCCAGCATAGTTTTTGCACAATAAATGTTTGTAATTAGAGAAAGACTTTATGACTATCTTCTTGAAAGAAAACAAAATTTTTATATATTATATATACATTATAAAAGTTTAAAACTTTAAATATCCATCTGTTCATTCTTGTAACTAGCAATTCTATTTTTTGAGTAACTTGTTTTATAATTAATGTTAGTGACAATATATATGTAATTGAATCTTTATATCAGTGTTTCCCAACCTTTCAGGATTAGAAATACACTTTGAATTTAATATGATTCCTGCAACACACCATAATTTTTAAAATAAAAATGTTTAAAATTTAAAATAAATTATGATTGCTTTTAAAAAATTTTGTTAATATGGAAGTTGAACTTACAAGGACAAAACTTACAATTTTGAAAATATATTATAAAAATAAAAAGACTATTTGAATCAATAAATAACGAGCTGGTATACCAGCAGATGCATAGATGCATGCAACTTTCGTGAGGGTATATGCTGATACTGCAAATTTCACAACAATCAGCATTTTAGTGAATAACTTCTCCTCTTTCTTTTAGTCAGCCAGCAGTAAAAAATGAATGATAAATAAAATTTTGAAAAAGAGCATATTCAAAATTCTAAAAATTGTTTAATGATAAATGACACACTCTAGACTCACGTTGAGAAACTCTGCTCTATATTGTGTGTAAAATTCTGAATAGCAGTATAAAATTATTTTCAATAAGGACTTTTTAAAATAGAATATATTTGGTAAAGTAAAATATTTTAATTCTAACATATTTGAATTGTGTTATTTATATTTGCAGCTTTGCTTTCAGAAATTAAGACAAGACAAAATATATAAAGTTATTTTTTTTTTACTAAATCTTATACAAATTTTAGAAAAGAAAAAATTTAATACATTGTTATTTCTAAACAATTTAAAATAATTATAAATTATAAGTAAACACAAAAATAGATTAAGTTGATTTTTCTCTTATTCATTATTGTTATTACTATAAATATAAAGACTATTAATTTTATATATATTTTTAAAATAAAATTGTATTTCGTTACATCTTCTATATTAAAAACTTATTTTTCTAATAATGATATTTCCATTTTTAAAAAATTACAAAAAAAATTTTTTATGAATTCATTTATAGATAAATCCATTTTTGGTTTGTTTATTTAAGATAAGAATTGTTATATTTGCATAAAGTTGTATATTAATTCATAACTTACACATCTCTTTTATCAATTTTCTTTTTTATAAGATACAATTGTTGATGGTTCACATTAAAAAAAATATTCTTATCATACGTATAACATACGTACTAAGAAAACAATGCAAATGGCTAAAATGAAATGATAAACATTCACATAAATTATTACTCAAAAGGTAGCTGTATAAATATTATTGGTGTAGAAAATAATATGAATTTTTCTGTTAAATTAATTCTATTTTTAAAGCAGCTATTTGCATAACTAAATACCTCTCTCATATTGATATCTGATAAAATGAAGATGGCATACTATCTGAGACCTACAAATTGTACATATGAATTACTATGGAACTGTTGCAATTAGGTTTATTGTGGCATTGCTTCTAGAAAACTATTTGCATTTATATTTTTAAAAATGAAAGTAAATTAATCATTTTTCAGAATTGTGGATTTTTATTGTGTAGAATTGAAACTTAAAAGAAATGAAAACAATACTCTTTCATGATTACATAAAATTTTTTTATTCAGAAACCCATTTATTACTAATAATCCAATCCTGTAAAACAGGAATAAACCTGACTTTACAAAATAAAGGGTTAGCACGCAATACGATGTATTGCGTGCTAAACATGCTAAACACATTATGTAATCAAGAAATTTTACGCTCACAGCTATCTAAAACAGGGAAAATATTGTAATCGGTCAAATATTTTTACCTTCGCGTTTTTTGCATTTATCGTCATTTTAAGAACCTTCCTTTCAAAATCACCAAAGAAACAAAGGATCAAAATTCTCTCTCTTTCTCTCTCCTTAGATCAAAGACATTTAAATTTCCAAAAGTACTTCTATATACATGGGGCATTGTTGCTATTGTTATTTTCAGTTTATAAGTGAGGGGGGAAGAGAGATAGAGGAGTCGGAGGTCAGATTTGATGAATGCTTTACTCGTTATTGGTACATAATCGTACATTTACAATTTTTAAAAAACGTTCACTCCTATTTCCCAAAATAAAGCTATTGACTTTTAGGGTAATTATTATTAAAAAATAAATGTTATATTATTATCGGTTAACAGATGGTGCCACACACAAATTTTACCTTAATTTCCTGTTCGANGTTAAATATATAAATTAATAGCTAATGAATATACAGTATATCTTGTTTTCCTGTTGTTTTAAAATCTCTTAAATAAAATTAAGTTTTATTAAATTTCATAATATAATAATTAATTATAGAAAATATAAATTCAGAAGTATTTAAGAAGTATCAAATTAGTTAAATCATAAAATTATTTTAAAATTTTTCTTATAAATTTCATAATCAACATAATATTTTGAAATAAATAAAAACCATTTAGTTAATTACTATTTATTTATCATTTTAGAATTAGGTATTAGGGGAAAGGTGGATAGCCCCACCCACAAAAATTTTAAAGTTTTTCTTTTTACCACAATCAGAGAGAATTTCCTTTGAATCGAAGGGTTCCGTGAGATGTATATGCATCCTCTTACTATGCTAAATTAATAAATAAAATCGGCTACTTTTTTGTTTTCTGTTATAAAGTTTTAACTTAATTTTTTTTTAATGTATATGGTACTTCTGGATTTTACAATTGCAGTTTTTATGGGATTTTTTTTCATAAACTAAACTTAATAAAAATGAAATATTTTTAAAGAGTGGTGAACAAAGTATTATCACATATCATATGCATAATTTAGTCCTGTTTTGAGATTCTCACACACTTCATGAGCCCATCTTCTACTGAATCCAGACTTCATTGTAGGACTCTCTGCATACGTATGCAGCAAGTCACAATATCCTGCAATGGAGCTGTTTCAACACACTTTTCATTTCTACATTTCAGATTCTATGATTATTTCCTTTGTTTTTTTCCAGTTTTTGCTTGATTCCCTTTTTCTCTATTTTCTCCACAGACAAACTCAGTCCAAGAATATCTACCAAGTATTATGTATCTAGTGCTAATTGAAAACATGGCTTTCAGATTTTCTGGCTGTGTGGAAAACTACTTTATTCTTAGGTGAAAATGAACTTTCATTGCTTACATATAATATTTAGTCCCCTGCAGTTAATCAGATTTTAAGTATTAATTAATTATAAAAAATATTTATTTTTGAATGATTTTGTAAGCAAAACCTTATTTGATGCCTTGTGACATTGTTTTATGTTGCATGCTTATGAAAAAAGAATGGCTTTACTATTGCCATATATGCTTGGTATCTTCATATGATAGGTTGCACCATGTATCAAAGAAAGGATGAAAAAGGTCTGTCCATTGTTACCCTTTGTCCAGGGATATCCACCTTTTTCCTAATAATAATTTATTAAGAAATTTAAGATATTTTAATCTTCAATTATTATTTAAAACAATGTAGGCTAAAGTATTAACTTTGTATATCATTTCTGATTAATTTATTTTAATTAATGTAATTCTGCATAATTTTCTATAATTAATAATAATACTTATTTTGTACTGTGTGTTTGAGAAAGATCTGTCCACAAAAAACCTTTATCAGTCTTGTGTTCGTTAAATATCCACTAATGTTTTCAACCTCCACTGAGGTCTTCTTCAGGTGCTGACTAAGCGTTGTCTTCCCTTGATCGTTAGGACGATGTCGTCCGAGTTGTAAATACAGTGGTACCTCAGGATACGAAATTAATCCGTTCCGAAACTGAGATCGTATCATGAAAATGTCGTAAGGTGAATCAACTTTTCCCATACGATTACATGTTAAACCAAATAATTCGTTCCAACGCGAAAAACATACNTTCTATAATTAATAATAATACTTATTTTATACTTGGTGTTTGAGAAAGATCTGTCCACAAAAAACCTTTATCAGTGTTGTGTTCGTTAAATATCCACTAATGTTTTCAACCTCCACTGAGGTCTTCTTCAGGTGCTGACTAAGCATTGTCTCCCCTTGACCCTTGACCATTGTCTCCCCTTAGGACGATGTCGTCTGAGTTGTAAATATTGTGCGTATCATGTTTCATCCCTCCACTTGTCCCCGTTCGAATTCTTCAAATAGGTATCTCATGCCTCTGCGATCCGTCTTTAAAGTTGATACAGGTTGGTACCTGAAGAAGATCTCGGTGAAGGTCGAAAACATTAGTGGATATTGTAACGAACACAACACTGATACAGGTTTTTTGTGGACAGCTATTGAGAAAGATCTTTATTATTATATAAATTCATATAAAAAAAATGCACAGTTTATTGANTTGTTCATATCGTGGAGCAAAAATATGTTCGAATTTCATGTCGTATCCTGAAAATT